CACAGTAGGTATCTAATGTGTGTGAGCTGCTGCACTCTTGTGGTGCTCATGTGCAGAATGAGCGGTAATGGGCCCTCGTTTCCGCCCTGCAGACCCAGCTGCACTCACCAGCCTCGCTCCACAGTCTATTTTGGGCGCGTTCTCTGCTGTCGTCAATCTCAGGTGTGACAGCTTGTCAGTGTCTGCCTTCTACACTGCCAGCTTGCTGCCCCCAAGCCAGCCATGATGGGTGATTGGTCCCCTAAGGAATCGGGAAGTGACATTCCTCACTAGTCAGACAGCCCTGATTTAAACCAGCAGCGGCAGCAGGAGTCCTGAGTCAGCAATCAGAGTCGGGAGCGTGGTTTAGGGGAAGGAGACAGAAGTGGCCTCTGCCTGCACCTCTGCCGTGTGACTCTGGGCACAACTCTGGGCCTCGGTTTCTTTGCACTTAATGTGCCCCATACCACCCCCCCCCCAAAAAAAAATAATCACTGTCAACTCTGTGGAAGCACATATCGTGCTCAGAATGGCTGGTGACTCAATGTCTACCTGCTGCTCTACGTTGTGAGTTTCAGAAAGACAACACATTTGTTCATTGCTGCATTCACACCCCTGGCCAGTGCCTCACTCACCGTCGGTGCTCACTTGCATATTTATTGAATGAAGGAATGCAGTGAAAGAAAAAAGACTTGAGAGCAAGTCAGACCTGGCTTTGCTTTAGACCTCCAAAATTAGCTTCATGATACTGTGCTCTCTGACCCTTAGACTCATCATCTGTAAAATGAAATCATTGTAGAAAAAACACCCACCAGGTGGTTTTGAGAAATAAACGTGATGGTGTGTGTGTGTTTGTGACGTACATACATGTATGTGTGTCTACATGTATGTATTTATGCCCACACATCTAAAAACCCGAGACCTAATGTCCAGCATGTAATGGGCATTAGAAAAATGAGAGCTATCATTTATTTCTCTGGAGCCCAGCTCAAGGTAGTTTTCTGTGTCCTGGTGATGGAAGACTGAAGGCCAAATGCAAATCAGCCCATACCTTCCCAGGCTTCATGGGCCTACCCACCCAGGGCAGCTGCCTTGCAAAAGGTCTTCTGCAGCCCCTCCCTTGCCATTGAGCCCCCGTCCTCTCCGCCCACTTTTCCTTTACCCTTGCTCCTAATCCAGCCCCACGTTCACCTGCCAGGCCACTAGACAAACTGACCACTAGACAAACAGAGGCTGGCAGGATGGGCAGGAGAGGGCTGAGGTGGGTGGGGAGCCTGGATCTTTGTCTTAACCCTGGCCTGGCACAAACCCACCACAGGATCCTGAATAGGCACCTCTCCTCTCTGACCTCACTGTCCCCTTCTGTGAAGTGCCGAGAACTAGACATGACAGTGCCCTGCCCCTTACCAGCTGTGAGATGTGGACAGGTCACACACAACCTCGGGGACACGAACAATAAAGGCAGGTGACCTGTTTGGAGTCTCTAGTGAGCATTGCCTCCAAAGCACCATAGGTTTGTGCACAAAGCATTGAGGCGTGTCTGGGGGTCTGAGGGCCCTGTTCCCACTTAGGTCAGGGGTCTCCCCATTGAGGAAGCCCAGGTTTCCCAAGTCGGGTGGTACCCAGCATCTCTCCTCCTGGCTCAGCAGCCGGAGAGCACCAAAGTCATTTGAAATGAAGACGTGGCCCCACAGGCAATTGTTTCAACCTGTGGCCCAGGGTCTTCTCGGGCCCCGAGTGGGTGTCTTCTCAGGAGAATCTTCTTTGGCCCCTTCAAAAGGCACAGGACGAAGACTGCATGTCTCCCCCTCAGCCTTCCCTGTGATGCAGCCTCCACAGCCGGCCTCCTTCAGGTCTCCAGCCCTCCCTGCACCCTCTCGAGCTCCAGGTGCTCTCTCCCTGTGGCTGCAGGTCGTCCTGCTGGGAACCACATTTATGGAGCCACCTAACTCGCAGGCCCTGTTGAGGGCATCTGTTCAGGCGTACTG